AAAAAAAGAAAGAAGAAATACAATCTTAATCAAAATATGCTGGCATAGAATCAAAAAAATTTATAGAGTAACAAAGCTTCATGGTGCAAAAAAAATTACCCAAAAGAATCTCCCTGTAGACAAAATATCATGAAAATGTACATACATACATATCATGTATAGTATGTGAGAGAACAAAAATTTGCCTAGTAGAAATTCCTTGCTTCCAAAGTTTCATGGTACAAAAGCATAGAAAAATTTATTTGATGAAGTTTTCAGAACACAAAATTTGTCTGACAAAATTCCCAGCTGAAACTGCAAAATGCCATTTTGGTGAGGCTCAATTACAATCTGAGCTTTATGTATTCACATTCTAAACTAGTAGAAGAATTTTCTAGGAGAGATAAAATACATTATAAGGATTGGAAAATGTAGTCTTACACCAATAGTAGTACTGCTAAATTACTATGAGCTGGCTGTTTATACACATTTAACCTAGTACTTTTTATATAAATTACCATAATTTCATGTTTTCTAAAAATTACTATAAATGTACTCAAACAAGTTCAGAATTGACTGTTTCATAAATAATTTGGAAAACAACTTGGTGAGCTTGGCAAGTAAGTGGCTTAATAATTAAATTTCAATATAATATCTATTTCTGTTCCTCTTTCAAAGTAAATTTTAATAATAACGATTAGAAAACATAAAATAATGTGGATAAAAAAATACAAATACCAGTTTAAACATGGGCAGACATACAGGACATAATTTGGAGGCCTTAGGGTAGCATTAGTTGACATTTCCAATCCTTATGATGTGCCCTACCTATCCCAAATATAAACTGCATACTATTTAAAATAATAAAATTTGTAAGCAAACAAACACAGTAAAGTAAAATAACTTAAATTATATTGAAAAATAATAACTTGACTAGCAGATTATTATCAACATCAACTGTATCAAAATCAAGAGAATTACTTAACAAAAATAATGAGGATAAAATAGGCACTGATTTATTCAGATGAGTGCAAGTTATGGATTTCATGCAACAATTATGAAAGAGTGATAAACATCATGCATAAGCACAGAGCTAAACTACTGATGAATCATGCGAGTAAGAATTTCAATATGTCCATACCTTAGTAATCCTGAAGCTAATAACCAAAAGGTAGGGAGAAAAAAAATATTTTTATTAGATAAAATTTAAATTAAAACATTATAATTACAGATATAAATGGGTTAGCATTTGTATTGATGGTTCTAAAAATATATATATTAGTAAAAGCAATGAGAATTAGCTAAAACAAAAGCAAATTAGAGCGCAGGAGTTAAAGCCATAAAAGACATAGGTTAACTAAACTAGTCATTTATTGAAATCTTTAGAAATTAAGTACTTTGAGTTTTATCAAGTAATTATACTATTAGGTGTATGTAAAATATCAAATATATATTTTTTCCCTTTAATTTCTGTTTTTAATCGCATCATTGTGATTTGTTTGGAGTCCTTTCTTCTACTTAATGTTATCAATATTAATGATCTATAAATCACATAAATATCTCATTATATTAATGTTAATAAATGTATATGACACTTGGATTATATCTAGAGCAGTTGAAGACATGGTATCTCTGGAAAAATATTTTAAGAAGTATTTATGAAGAAATGCGAAAAACAATGAGATGAAAGATCAAATTTGGAACTTCATCGTTCATATAATGAACCTGATATTGTCAAACAATGAATAAAATCAGTAGGTTATGTTACATGAATATATAAAGAATAAAACACAATAAAAAAATGTTTAGAACAAATGGCACGCAGAAAAAGGACAGACGAAATCTAAGAAGAATTAGGGGCCAAATTTTAGAATTGTATGCAAAATTTTTCAATTCAATCAATAAGTTTTCAAGATATAGCAAAATACACAAAAAATAAAATTAGCATTTAGGGGTTCAAACTTTGAATCACTCTCCTGACCAAACTATGGGGACCATATTCTCCAGATTGTGGCTGCCATCTATATCTTAGGGGTCAGAAATTAATTGGTGCAGAGGTTTTATCCAGTCACTGGGAGAGGTTTTAATGGTCACTCCTAAAGGTTTTCTTCAACATTAAGTCTATGGAAAAGACTCTTGCCTCCCTAAAGTGATCGTAAATAGAGGAGGTCGCTACATAAAAGTAGACTTTTCTGGAGGTTTCACTGTATATATAATTGACACATTTTTTATTTTTTTTTACTACACCTTCACACAGCACCTTTGATCAATTAAATTATGATGAACCAATAATCCACAATCTCCTCTACGGTCTCATTACAAACAAATTCAATAGTATTTCCCACAGATCTAAATTGATATCAATAGTGAAATTTTTCTCAATGAAGCTAATAACCTCACACGCCACTATTATACAGTTATAGCGATACAATATGTATAGAAAGTCTCTCGCAAAATAAATAAATAAATGAAAGATCTTTTAGAGATTTTGTAGAAAAATTACAAAATTTTTGCTAAAGCTAGATTAATAACCAAAATGTTTTAAGACAAAACAAATCAAAGCATGAACAGCAATACTGAAAGATATCAAATTACCTAACTAAAGTTTCAATAGAGTCATCAGCGGATGAACTAGATGATAAAGAGGCTGTTAATGAGCGACTCTGTAAGAAAATGTAGAGCCATAAAGATATAGGATAAAGAATTATACAGATAAATACATGTCATCATACTAGTGAAGACAAAAAGAAAAATCAATTACATCAAATAACTATACTTTACCTACAAACAGTATCTGCAAAGAAGAAAAAAAACACTTCTGAAGTAACACGAGAAAATATTAATATTTTTTGAAGTTATTCTGTACCATCAAATCTATCTTATACGAAGCTGCAATCTTTCTTTTTAACAAAATCATTCAAATTATTTGTCTAGCACAGCTAGGTTATGGTGGCTCTAAAAACTTACTACAAATAGGTTAAAATATTAACAATTAAGGTAAAGGTTCAGATTTAAGTATAATTTTGCATATCTAACTGCAAATCAAATTAATGTAATGCAAAGTTTAAAAAATTAATCACGCAAAATATTTCAAAACTGGTTTTGCTGTGCCTTTTAAAATTAAGAAGAAATTATACAGATATTGATAAGAGCATGGTGAAAAGCTGAAAAAAAATGTGCTTTAAAAAAAAATTTATTCTTTTCATTCTATAAAATATTTATTATTTTCTTTAATTTATAAAAGTTTTTTTTCCTATTCTCTTTTAGTTTTTTCAGTTGAGTTTTGAAAAGACATTGTATGGAAAGGAATTGAATATTTTATAATTTTTATTCGAATAAAATTTTATTAAATTATTTTAGGAAGCAAAATTTATACATTAATTTTAAACTTATCAAATAATGTAATTTATGAATTATTTATTTCTAACAAACAGGGACAAAGTTAATTCATCACTTCAAGCTTTTTTTTTTACATCCAATGAAATAAATATTATAAAAATTGTAAGTAAGAACAGAACAGAAGATCACGAAAATATCTAATTCCATTAATAGAATTAATAACTTTTTGAGTTTTAATATGTGACAATTTTTTATCCATTGCCTGAGAAAAATTATTTTTCAGTGTATCAATCAAATACAGTTTGGAAATTAATACAAAGTCAAACTATAAAAAAAGCTGTGATATCTGTCATCTACATATCATCACTACCTTTCCATAGCTTTAAAAAAGTTTGCAACAATATTTGTTTGTTTATAATCTATATAATTTACCAATAATACTTTGTAAAAACTTGTATAAAAATTTTACAATATTCTCCACTTTACTATTTTTGCTCCCCCGACACAAAATTTCTCAAAATTATTGTGCTTTTATGTTAATTTTTCTAAAAGAAAAAATAATTAAATGATTAAAATTGCAAACTTTAACCATTTGATAAAAGAAACATTAACTTTAATATTAAGTTATGAAAATTACTTATGAAAATTTAGAGAAATTATCCATTTTAGTTATCCAAATTATCCCCTTTGAAACTTTAGATTTATTTTGAAACAATGATATCCCGATTAGAAAAATTAACTTAATCTTCGACCATCATTATTCATATAAATTTCAGCTTTTCCAGTGCTTTAATTTAACTCTGAAATCAATTTTTAGTATTTTTCTTACTTATGTACATTTATTTGTAGATGCATATTTCGAATACACATAACTCCAAATTTTGTCGAAGTCACAATTTACATTGTGATAACGCACTGTTGATCAGTACACAAAATCTGCTACAAAAAGTAGTTGAGTAACTCCCATTTCATATATTTTCAGGTTATTTAGATAAAATAAAAATTAAACTTCAAAAATTATTTGAGAAAAAGATTTCTTAAAGCATGAAACTCTTCAGAACAAATAGAAACTTTGGTATTCATAAATGCAAATTCAAAATAATATGAATTATAGAAACTTACTTGAATAACTAAAAATTAGTATAACATGAGATGTAGTAGATAAAAAAATTTTAAAAAAAAATTTGGTAATATTAATTTTTGAAAGTAATTTAACATGATGTGGTTGGTAACTTACAATTTATTTAGCACTTAAAAAACAGTTTTGAAGCAATATATAGTAAACTACATGTATACTTATTAAAAAATAAAAAAAAACTCTTACCCTATCAGTTTGAGTAGCTGCATTGCAGGTTGGTAACCCATGGTTACAATTGTTTACTTGAATATTTAAATATTTTGTCTGAAAAAAGAATTTATATTGAATTAAAAATAGCAAAAATGTAACATTTTCTTTATAATGCTTATAACAATAACTCAAAGAGTAGTTATATTATTTATTTTTCAAAACTATACAGAAGATGGGGTTGCAACACTACGCAGAGCCACTTTAACAAAAATTACAAATTATATGTAACATACAAAGTCAATAAACAAAAATCATTATACATTTTATTTTTTATGCATATCCATATGTTATACATATATAACCAATACTGCTACTACAATACGCTGCACGGAATGACAAAACGTTTCTCACAGACAGGATATATCTTTAACATATTTTGATGCCACAACAGTCTGGCAGAAACTTTTGAGCATGCCTTCCAAGATTAAAGATATTTAAGAAGGTAAGTTCGTCCTGATACATGACCCCCAGTTTTAAAATTACAATGTTACAAATGTAAAAACAAATAATTCAAAACTAACTTAACAATAGGCTGCTCATCAATAACACTAAAATAAAGTACATCATTAATTTACTTTGTTCCAAACTGGATAAATCCTAAGCATTACAACAAAACTTGATAAATTCATATTAATGTTAAAAATGAGATTTTGTCAGCAATTTTGTAAAAAAGATGTTAACACTTCAACATTATCTTAAAAAAATCTGGTCAGCACTTATTAAATTTTGCAACAAGAAGACTCATTTTATACTTAAATTTCTATCTCCAATTTGAAACTTTTAATTCCCACCCATATTTAACTTTATTCCAATAAATATAACAGTAAAGTAAAGCATTCCCGCAACAGCCCGTTTGTGGGCCAAGAGGGTCATAGAGGATAAGTCTCCATAATTTTGTGACCAACGGCATGATTGTGGCAATGTGGTCACCACTGCACATAGTCCATCTTTACGTCCTAGACAAGCTGGTACCCATCCATCTGAAGCTTGGTGAGCTTAATGTCACCACTGGGGATCAAACCAGCTCTTCACAAAGACAGTTCAGTGCCTTAACCACTGAGCCATTGCAACTTAAATATAAGAGTGGCGTAAAAAATAATAACAATAATTTATTGCTATCTTAAAAATAATCACTGAATTATAAATTCTAGTTGGATTTTTTATTTTATTTCACAGAGCACTAGATTTTACATAACATTATTTGGAGACCACTGCTTTTTATTTCAAAAATTAATTAATTTTAAGACTATGGTTAGAATAATTTACAAAATTAAACATTAGCAAAATAAGATACAACTTGAAATTCATTGAGAATGAATCAGGATATTTATTTCTTTGTATTGTTATTAAATCATGCAGATTATTTTCACTGTAATAAAATCTATAAATTAGTTAGTTTCGCTTAAGCAAATTATAAATTATTTCTCTTCATTTTTAAAGCTTAGGGAGTGAAAAATATAGGTTAAAAACTTTTTAAACTTGCGTAAAAGTTAAAAATTTCAATTATTCATTTCGTGAAAAAAATTCAATTTTACCACCATTTATTAGTAGAAAAGTTTATTAACATCAAAATGTAATTAACATTTTACTGTGACTTTTAAAAGAAGGGGAAAAAAAGAAGAAACTTACCATTTGTTGTTGAAGTAAGTTAATTGTATGATCTTTATCTTCTAACTGTTGTTGTAAAAGTACAAGCTGCCTTTTCATGTCTGCATTTTCCTGAAAAAATAGATATGAATAAGAATTTCATAGGGAAAAAGATAGCAGAATATTTTTTAAAGATTATTTTTAAGAAGATTTCAATAATAAAAACCAACCAATTAATAAAGATTTATAGATAAGACATTCAGTACACTGAAGAAAATTCTTAGTACATTCAAAGGTCAATTGATTTAAAGTTAGTGATTGCACAGATCTAAAATTCAAACAGTTTGCAAATAGGGGCTTAGCAAATTTCAAAACACTTATCAGTAAAAATTTGCAAAGAACTTATTTAATTTTTTAAATCATATAACTTCTTGTGCAAATTATTTTTAGGGCAACATCATTTCTTGCCGTCATAGCACTGTTACAGGATCTTTAACAGAAAATAACAAAGCCACCTATGAAGGATTCACATCCGCAATCACCTTTTCCATTGCAAATAGTGACTAAATTCAAAAAAATCATTTAACAAACTCTTCAATGCTGAAAAATAATGGTGGTCACTCAGACCACAATGAAATAAGGAGGTCACCAAGATCAGTAATGAAAGTAAAAAGATGGTACGCTGTTCTTTTTTTTTTAAGTTCTGGTTTCATGTTTTAGTTCATGTTTTTTTACCATATTTAGGTAATCATAATTGTGACATTATAGTTTGTCTATGGTAAGAACTTCCCCTGCCACAAAGTCTGAGACCGTCTGCTGCTATGGAAACAAAAATAGCGCATTTCAAGGAGGGTAGCTAATCTTCTTTCTAACAAAATGAACCGAAGAAAAAGATTCCATTTCTCTCGCCGATCCGAAGCCAAAACCTATATCCTGAACAGCGACCCCACACCCCTACTTGAAATAGTTATACCTCGTTAAAATAATCACCACCATGAGTCCAGGCAAATGGCTAGGGGAGTTCTTACTTAAAACAAACTTACTTTTAACATTTTCTTTTTTACCCCTGATTTTTATAACTGCTTTTATATTTAACACTAAACCATGTTATAAATTCAAAATAAATAGGAAAAATCTTACTTAGAGGTAATAATTTAGACAATTTTATGCTAAATGCACTTCTACATGCTAAACATTTCTCAGAAATCAAATTTTAACATTGGCACAAAAACACTGATTTACAATATTTGATAGGGAAAGGGATAGAAAAAAAAAAGGAAAGAAAGATCATTGGGGTATTTTGAAAAATATATTACTTGGTGTCTACCTATATATAAAAAAAAGACCCACTTCAAAGAGAAAGAAAGGAGAGAAAGAAAAAGAAAAAAATATTATATTTTAATAATTTAAATCTGAAATTCTCATAAATAACCAACCTGATAAATAGTAGACAAATCTGGTGTTTTCTTTTCCGTTGAAGTACTTGAGGCTAAGCTTGAAGGCAAATCATTCTGCACTAAACTATGGTAGAATATATTCTAAAAAATAAAATACAACATATTACATATTTAGAGAGTTTGGTAAAATAAGGTTCATAAAAGAAAGCTATAAGACTTACATTAGGGCTTGATTGATCAAAGGGATTTATAGTTTCAGCCTCTTGAATCACAGACTTCAGTCTTAAAAGAAGAGTTTTTACACCATTTAAATCTTGGCACAATAATCGATATGAGGAAGAATCCAATTTCAGGCCACCATCGTCTGCCTCACACACACTCATTTGACGAGGTGGTCGTAAAGGTAGACTAACGGTTCGTTGGCGCCATTCTAAGCGATCAGCGGAAGTTGACAAGGGACCAGACAATTTACGATGATTAGATATTCTTTTCCTTAAAAAAATTACTTTCATTAGTTTCAGGTTTCTTGATACGTATTTCTCTTGAATTAATGTTAAACTGTTAAAAAAGTGTGTTTTAATTTAATAAAGATATCCAAGATAATAATAGAATAGAATAGTCTTCCTCAATTGGGTGATGTATTAACTATTGAGTGGCACCAAATTTAAAATGTTTTAATATAATAGAAAAAAAATTTGATAACATACCTTGCTTTTTCTTCAAAATCAAATTTTTTCTCCTTTTTTAATGGGGTAACTTTATCAGTTTCTGTTTCATGTAGTTTTCTCATAGGTGAAGCAGGCCTAAAATAAGAAGACATTGCATATAAGTATAGAACAAGAAATAAAATACAAAAGACTGTGTTAGTAATAATAAAGATAAATTTTCTTTTTCCTAATGATGATATTAGTTAAAGAGTTTGAAGGAAAAAAATGTTAAATAAAAATTTCATGACAGTGAGAATAAAAAATTTCTGTTATAGCACTTTGCAAATTGAAGAAATTCTAACCACCTTAACTCAACTAACTTACATTTTGTGAGAAGGTAATAATACAGAAATATTGCAATTTTGAATGATAAATGAAAAATTCAGACACATGATATAAAGAAATTGATTTAAATGAGAGTAAAAGATTAAAGGGTAAAGTGGACACTGTTTTAGGAGTAAAAAAAAAAAANAAAAAAAAAAAAAAAAAAAAATGAGCTCCTCAATGCAGAGTGTTCTATAAAGACTAAAGCATGAATCAAATAAATAAAATTTAGAAACCACAAAAAAATAGGGTAGTTTCTACTGTTAAAGAAGAACGAATCAGGATATTGCAGAAAAGGTGTCAACTTTATGAGTTAATTTAAATGAATCATAGCGACATGTCTAACTTTTTTTTCTTCTGAAACATCACTTAAATATCTGAGAGGAAAAGAGCTTTAAGATTATTGATGGCAATAGTTTAAATTAGTTCTATTAGGTGAGCAGCAGGCTTACTGGGTTTTTACTGAATAGGTCAACAACAAAAAGAAAGGCATGTTACTTTTGGTTAAAACTACTAAAGATCGGCTTTTCTCATTTTTTTATTTAAATATTGCTTTTATTTAAACAAAATATTTTTCAAAAACAGAGATAAATGCAGTGTAATGCTGTTAATTAATTATACTGATGTTATTGGATTTTAAAAACAATATGGAACAGCAGTTTTGTAACTTATCAGTTAGAAGAAGTAACTTGAAACTTAAATAAGCAAATAAAAAAATTTCAAACATTAATCTAAAAAAAATATAAATTACTTTATTTTTACTATAGAAATTAAAAATAGCTGAGGTACTTCAATTGAAACAGTGATTTACATGAAAAAGTTTGATGCCTCCAATAGAAAATTTTTCTTGTTCTTTAAGTTTATTTAATTCAAATGTATTTATCTTTACTATGAAAGTAAAGCTAATAGAGTTTGTTAAAGTATTAATAAAACAATGAATTACATAAAAAGCTCTTACCTTAAAGAGAAATTTTTATATTCATTTAATTTAGTTTTAACATTAAGCTTACAGAACATGTATGGTGTGGCATGTGGTAAATACAAATCAATTAGCTTTTCTCCACATGCACATATGGTAACAAAATTTTTGAAACATTACAAAGGATACTAGTAACTAAAGTTAGTCAATTATCTTGAGTTGATTACTAAAAATCCCCATAGCAGAATGTTTCGTAATGTTCTGCAACAAGCAAGTGATAGAGTGAAATGTTCTGTGGGTTATAAGCAGGGTTGGAATTTTTGCCAGCAAAAAGGGGTTTTTGCCAGGACAGTGGCAAAAACCTGGTAAAAACCGGCAAAAACTGGTAAAAACCGGCAAAAAACAAATTATCTAAATAGCTGATTAAATATTATTACAAAATACTTGAAACAAATTTAAATCAATCATAAGGAATAATAATTTTGATACATTACATGAAAAAATTATTTTTAACATATTAATAATTAATATAAGGGTAATAATTTTTAAAAGATTGAAAGTTTTTGATCTCTTTTCATTTTAGAATCCTAAAATAAATGTTTTTTTACAAATAAATAAATATTATTATTTGTATAATATTATTATTTATTATAAAAAATTATTATTTGTACAATAATTAACTACACATGTTGATAGATATTTTATGCTTTAAATTATAGTTATATTAATTTAAAATAAGTTCATTTCACTGGAAAAAAGAGAATAATCACAAATTTTCCAATCAATAATGTTTTAAACTACTAAAATGATATATTATTACATTATCATTTAATTATGGAATAATAATTTTGTTAATTTTTTTGTAATTATTTATATTCATAGTATATATTTCAATTTTAGGAATAATTTTGTATCAAAAATGTGTTTTTGTCCTCTCATCTTGGAAAATATAAGTTTTTGCCACTTTTTGCCAATTTGCTTGGCAAAAACCTGTTTTTGCCAGGACGGTTTTTACCGGTATTTACCATGGTTTTTTCTACCTGCGGCAAAATCTTGCCAACCCTGGTTATAAGTGCATTTTTTCTCTGAGAAAACGTACATAACTGTTATAAAAATCACTTAAAAATGACATATGAAATAGCATGTCAATGACAATGTATACACGTAATTAACTATTACTGTTGTACATAATTACAAATTCAATTGGATTTATTAATGACAATCACTGACAAAAATATAATTAGATAATATTTTAGAAAATTTTATTCAAAATAATACAGACAATGACAGGGAAGGTTGCAAAATAGAAAAAAAAAGAAGAAAATATTTGTGAAATTAAAAAGAAACATGTAAATTGCACATTTTCAAAACGTCTAAATAATATGAATGGTGAAAGTTGAGTATAATGACTGTTTCTGAAAAAGTTCTCAATTTATAAACCTTATGGGAAAACAAGGATAACAGTTTATTTACAGTACACTCTTTGTTTACAATAATTAATACCTTTTACGTATTACATTATTTTTCTTCGATATATTGACATTATTCCCTTTACTGATACCTGCATCAATAATGGGATGAGGATCAGACGTGGTATCAGAACTAATCTCCGACAATGATCTTTCATTCAAACTTAATAAAATTTAATGTACTTTTTTCATCGACCAAACAATGCCAAACAGGTTTTTAGCAATGAAAACATTGATAATGAGCTTAAAAATTTCTTAAAAATACTGTATTTTGCATTTAAAGTAAACTACTTTTCATGTTGGCATCCGCAAAATAAACATAGGCTTGGAACATAATAGTTTTTTTAATATTTAAGAATATAGTAGAGAACCGATTATCCGGAACGATCGGGACTATCGCTATTCCGGATAACTGATTTTTCCGGTTTTCTGAATCGCTACAATAAGCCGTTTTTTTAGTGTTAAACCCAACTAAAAAAAAAATATTTGGAAATAATCTTAAAATAAGAAAAAACGATGAGGCATGTGTAGTGATGTGTAGTGCACACTAGTGATTATTTCTGAAATGATAGTAAGGTAAACATCTTTCAAAAAAGAAAGAAAAATCCTAAAATCTTATGAGGAAAAAAATTTTTTTTCAAAAAAAAATTGCGGAAAAATTTATCGAATTTTGTTCCGGTTATTTGGTTTTCCGGTTTTCTGATTTCCGGATAACGGGTTCTGTACTGTATTTGTAATGTTTAAATATTTTTATTAACATTTTAATAAATTTTCCCATTTTTATTAACATACTATATTATATTTTATAAAATATTCAAAAAGAAAAAAAATTTTATTTTTTATTTTTCTATATTTTTTATTGTTTTGCAGAAAGACTACTAGTTCTGCTATGGTGCGAAAAATAAGTTCAATTTTAAAAAAAAACTGTTTATTGAAACAATAAGATTCAATATACAATTTGGCTATACATTTTATTTGTGTGGATTAAATGAAATAAAAGCCCACTAAAGTGAAATAGATAACCAGCATGTGCACTAAAGATAGAAGTTTACTTAGTTTGGTACTCAAATGACAAATAAATAAATCAATATTCTCAATCAGATAACTCACCCTTCATTTACTGTGCCTTCAGGAAACCCATCATAAGACTTTTCATAATCCAGCATTAAATCATCAGAAGCGATGCTAGAACATGAAGAACCAAGTTCTGATCCCAAAATCAAACTGTCACGATGATCCCCGAAACGACCCTTCCTGCTGGAATAGCTACTCACACTGTCCGTTCGCTTTTTAACAGAACTAGACATTTGCAAAGCATGCAACTCACTCATTGCCATCTGCAGCGATTGCACATCTGAATCTTCTGATTTGGGTTCATTGCCGAAAGTCAAACCAGGCTGATCTGCTATTTCATCATCAATAAGAAACTCTCTGTTCTCTTCAGATGGTGGGCTGAGAACTCCTGTACTGTCTGATTTTTCATCAGAATCTAGACTAGACTGTTTGGTATCATTGTTTGATTTCACTGTGGATTCAAAAGCATTATCATATTTCGTTTCACTACACTGATTCTCCTCAGTAGTGCAATAAAAGATACTTCCACCAGGAGTAGGCTGAGAACCATGCCTTCTAATTTTTGGAATACTAGACAAATTTGAAACTGATGACTGAACAACCCGAGAAGTCTTCTCTGAGCGACTTGTTTTAGGGCTCAACTTGCCATTCTCGGGGGATCTGAAAGACTTCTTTTGATAAGACAATAGACCTTTATAAGATGCATAGGTGGAAAATATATTTTCCGAAGCAGTCATCTTGAAGGGGTGTTTTTCTCGTGGACTGCTAGGGCCAGAATTGGGAATAGATTTAGGTTCACTTGTTCGCAAAGTTGATTCAGGTCCAAAATGCTTATCATCGAAACTCCACTTTCCATTTGGTTCCCTTTTATAAGTAGGAGCCTTCACGGCCAGTTTGCTATCCGAAGGAGATTTAGGAGTACCTGCAGAAGATTTACTACCCAAGCTGAGATTTGGCGAGCTTTCATCCTGTAATTCAAGTTGCTCCAAATCTTTAACAGTGTCCGAGTCTTCGGGTCTGTTCTTATCCGTTAAGCTATTTCCAATTCCAGAATCAAAATCTGACAAGCTATCACGACTTTCGAATCCCTTTCTTGATGGGGATTTTGAGACAGGACTAGGACCACCAGAATTTCTACCACTTACTGTTTTAGATTGTTGAGATTTCGAAAAAACTTTAATTTCGGCCTGCTGAGGTCCGGGAGATTTATTGCGGTTTTGACGAGGAGAAATACCGGATCCTCTGGCAGGTGTTCGTACAATTCGTTCATTATCTGGGCTCAGAATTTTTTCAGGACAACTTTTGCTAGTTTTTTTTGGTTTGATTAATGATTCAGATTTATTAAGGTATTTGTTAGAAGATGAAGGTGACGTACTTGATACATTAAAAGCAGAGCGAGAGTTAACAATAGCATTATTATTTACTACATGTAAGGTCTCATTTTCATTTAAAGGAGAACCGATTCTTTGTTCTCCTGTAGCTGTGGGTAGACTAGAGCTAAAGCGAGGTATACTTGACTGGTAGTGCTTTAAATTTTTAATATCTCCCTGCTCAACAGTTGATAATGTATTAAATTTTGTGGGAAGTGGAACATTTTTCTTGGCTGCAAACTCAATGTTTGCATTTCCACTTCTGGTATAAGGCGTTGGACGAGCCAATCTCGAAGCCTCATCCAATTTTGTAGCTGCCATCTGTGATGTCATGTATGGATTATTCCCTCCACTGGCCTTCTTGGAATAGCATGTGCCCATTCAGAAGCATAAACGAAAAGTAACTAGAGGAAAAACAATGAAACTAGTTAGTGATAATGTAAGATAAAATTATTAAGAAATATCTAAACTCAAAAAAATTGTCTATTAAGACAGTAGAAATTTGCCTTTAAAGTAGTAAAATGTTAATTTGACATTTCATACACAAAATTTTATCATTTTAATAATAGATGAAATTAATTTACATAAAGATCATTTAAATATTAATTTCCATATTTCTTCAAAATAAATTAAGGATATTTTAAAAATATTTATTTTAACTATTAAGTATTACAGCTTTTGCACAAATAATACGTACACAGGTAACCTTTTACATAGCAAGGCTAGTCTAATGATGTTGATGATAAAATAGTGAAACAAATACAGCCTTGCAGTTCCATGTGAAGGGCAGTAACTAAAGAACATTAAACAGTCAAAAATAGTTGTGAAGAGCTCACATCAAAATATATGTAACTGCATTGAAGTGCTACTTTTTTCTTAGTGCTCATGACCCTTTACTGGGGTCTGTCTAGGTTTTTTTGGAAAATACCTATTTTGTAAAAATTTTAGACATAATTTGTGAAAATTAAAAATTATATTAAAAAATCAACACAAAAGTATGGATTTATCATTTCTTACGAGATACAAAAATAACTTTTTAAGATAAAAGTATTGTGTGAAACTATCGTTTTTCCTAAAATTGAATTTGTGAAGGTACCACTAAAAGGTAGTAAATTTGGACTGGACAGACCCCTGAATATCTAACATATATATATCTTCATATTCTGGAATTTATAAGATTAAACATCGAGATTCATATTAACACAATTTTGAAATTTAACATTGAGATTCCTATTTACATGATTTTAAATATTATAACTATGATTTATCACACATAAAAAATGGAGTCAAAATTACAGAAAATATTAATCGGTTTTTCTAATGATACTTTTTATTTCAACTTAACAAATACTAATTTCTCTGATATATAATTTCTTATAATTAACAAACATCATATTTTAATTCAAGACATAAATTAATCAACGTATTTTTCCACTCTTTCTTTTTTTTTGTCCCTCCAAATGTAAAGTGGAAAAGATGATTCTTCTTGCTTTAATGTATTTACCACTACACTAAAGGCAGAAATATGTTAACAGGGTTATCATTATATCCATTATTATTATGAGCATATGTGAACATTATGAATATTATTCATGAACATTTGCACAAATAATTAATGGGCACTTTTAAGAAATTAGATCGTTCACACGAATACGTTAGAGCATTAAGCATTATTGAGGTATAAACGATTCTTTAGTTATTTATAAACAAAGCTCATAATCCACAAATAAGTTAAAAATTTTTCTTTTTTTTCATTTTCAGCCATAAATTATTAAATTTAATTTAAAATAATGATAATTTAGTTCCACAGGAAAACCATTCCTTTAACTAATTTAGCTAATCAAACTTGTACAATTAACATGTTTTCTAAGTATGAAGAGCTTAATTTCTCTTCTAATAGAATGTATAGAACTAAAAGTAGAATTTTGAAAGTACCTCCACATTCCTTTCTCTAAAAACCAAAACTATTTTATTCCTTATAAAATTAAATGTACTGCAGCGTCAGCCATATTTACAGTGTTATATCTGTTATGCTGCCAAAACATAAGAATATCGTAATTATATTTTTTAATGAGGTTAAAAATAAGATAGTATATTCTTATATACTATTGCATGCGATTCTAGTAATATTTTTAAGGGATAAACAAATTTTTAAATCAGTTTAAGTGAGGAAAATTAAATAATATTTTATTCCTTAAATTCTGTCAATGTAATAGCAACAGACATATTAATTTTGAAAAGTTGTAAGCTGAACTTTTCTATGCCACACAGACTTCAAGCTAATACAACACACCTCCATCTCACTTGGTTCTATAATTACGTGACAGCTTTTATACTTTTGACTCTAAAATATGTTTAAAATTTATGAGCCTAATGATGTTTTATACCTATGCACGTGTGAAGCCGAAAGGCCGATCACAAAAGTTTATTTTTGTCGCCATTGCTCCAAATTAAGATGTGGTGAATGTGTTTCTCATGAGGTCATTACTTACATCTGTCATTGTTTATTATTTTACATTTCATTGTTTTGGTTTAATATAAAATCCTTCTCTTCGTAAATATTTTACAGGTTGATTCTCATTATTGTCAAAACTGCTTAGAATATATGCCATCTCCAGAAGCTCGATTAAAAAAGAATAAGTGAGTATTGATTATAAATTAGGTGTTTATAAAGAAATAGATGAATTCTAAGTATGCATTTCGCAATATGGTCTCACAAATTTATAAGGCTACAAACAACACATTCTTAACATTGTTCTAACTTTAAAAAGTAGTCATTTTTTAGTCTATAGTGCTTTCTGTTATCCTTTAACATTACTATACAAATCTTCATATTAAATAATTGCTAATGTTGTGTTTATCATAGTCTTTCGATTTATTTTAATTTTGGGGAAATTTCTGTATTGGTACTTCTGCCAAGATGGCGACTTCCAAGTAATGAGGCGAGGGAAAAAAACGACAGAAGGAAGCCAGGGAATATTTCCATACTATAATTTACAAAATACTCCTTAAGTTTTCGTGATTTCCGGGAAGTGGGTCGTGATATACTATGTAAAAACATCACAAAAGAGACCAACTTGAAGGGTTTAACTCCTTGTAAGTTTAATAAAATTGAAATCCATTTGGCACGTTGTCAATAATAGTTGGTGTAAAAGATCACTACACTGATAGAGGACCAACTAGGAGGATATAAATTGCAGCTACTCTGGGCAAATTATTACATTTTTTTTTCGAGTTCTAAAATTTTTAGCATTTAGTTGATGGCACCAATAAATATTGATACAAGTATATGAAAATATCTCCTAATTAGATTTTGCTTTTACAGTAAGTTTATTTGTTATGTTTCTTCTTGTCATACTTGAGTTAATGTTAATAATGTATTTGTTCTAGCTTCTGAGCACTTTCCTCAAGATTTTCTTGATATAAACTAAGTGTTGAATATGTTAGTTATAGGATAGTCTATTTTTCTAAACATTTTATTGAAATATTTGAGCAAAATAACTTTAAATATACCTAATGAAAGCAAGCATATGAAAATAAAATTGTACTTTTCATTTTTTAATTTTTTTTTATTTCAATCTATATTTAAATGAATCTATTATTTTTATAAAACTTTAACTAATTGAAATAAATAAATTCAAGAGAAATTTAATTAATATTTTTTAATGTATAAACATTGTTATAATTTTAGTCTACACCTATTGTGCATGTATCTTTTATTTTTGCTGTCCTCATTCTATGTTTTGAAGAAATTCAGCTAGTGCTTGTCAGTTTAGACTTATATTTGGCACTAGCCATGTCAAAAAAACATTTTCTCACGTGAACTGTGTATAAATATAGATAAACTGTACGAAATTATGTTCATTTTGTCCTATTAAATTTGTACACTGAAAATTTTAAAACTTATCACCAGATTTTAGTGTTGATCTTCCAAATTCTGTGTTTAAGTTTAATTGCCAATCTTAATGAAATGAGTATTTATATGATGAATAAATTTGCTAATTCTTTATGAACTTAAAACTCTTAAGTCTCTTTAAATGATTTTATTGAAATGACTATTTTAGGTGCTCCAACTGTTTTGACTGTCCTAGTTGTATGCATACTCTTTCAACCAGAGCTACTAATGCTCAGGTTGTCAATCCTGATGAACCTAAAAAGACAGTTACTAAGAAGGTCTATTACCTGTCTTGTGGCTTTTGTCGATGGACATCTCGGGATGTTGGACTATCTGATCAAGTGACTGGTAATTAGATAATTATATTTTAGTTTATTTAATTATTGAAATTAATTATAGGGTGCAGCTAAAAAAATTGGACAATGTTATTGCATCCTCGAATGGAAGTTAACAATTTTTTTTTTTAAATCTGTATTTTAATTTCTTTTTGTCTATCACTTTAATCATGAAATGTTTTATAATCTTATTAGTTTTTCTGTATTATTTTTTGGCTTTTTTTCGATATCAAACAAAAGGATCATGTAATTTACATACCGTGGATTATAGTGAATGAACCATTTTGAAGTCTAGGACCTGCACTAAACTACACGAAAGTTTTGTCTCTCTATAGCAATTACTTCTGCAGGAATAGAATACGTTAAAGGTAGATGACCTGCGCCACATTGCTTAAAATTTTAATAAGCTTTTAACACTTCTAAATCTCTGCCAAAGGCAGCCACTTAAGAACCAAATAAATTTATTTATTCATTAAACCTATTAAAATGGTTATTGATTAGCAGGGTTAAACTTTTTAAAGTAATTTTTTTTTGTTTTGTTGTAAAGTTGATTAGAATCAGGGTTGGCAAGATTTTGCCGCAGGTGGAAAAAACGGTGGTAAATACCGGTAAAAACCGTCCTGGCAAAAACAGGTTTTTGCCAAGCAAATTGGCAAAAAGTGGCCAAAACCTATATTTTCCAAGATGAGAGGACAAAAACACATTTTTGATACAAAATTGAAATATATACTATGAATATAAATAATTACAAAATAATTAACGAAATTATTATTCCATAATTAAATGATAGTGTAATAATATATCATTTTAGTAGTTTAAAACATTATTGATTGGAAAATTTGTGATTATTCTTTTGTACCTTCACACCA